CGTTGTTACAAGGTAGATTCATCAAATAATTTAACCCTTCTTTCTCCGTTATCGGTCATACGAGCTAAAGATTGTAAAAAAAAAATTAAAAATGAATATATGTAAGAATTTGTATAAGTTGTAAGGAGACTGCTAACAACAGCAAAAGCAGATTCCTTTGGCATTGCCATGGCCACTGCCAGGCCCTTCTACCCCATTCTTGCCCACTGTTTATTGGTCCCTTTTCCGAATACTAACAGTTCCACCCACAATAATGCATACCCAATTTTTGGGCTTCTGTCCTTTGTTACACCTACAATCCCATATGCAACAAAAATTACCTATACCCATTTGCCCATTTGCACGTGTACGAGTCCTATTAATTTAGGAAAAGATTATGGGTATATAAATAAAAGACATTATTTGTGATGTCCCACATTGATTGGGAAGGAGAATAAAACACCATTTATAACGATATGGAAACCTTCTCCTAGTAGACGCGTTTTAAAGTCTTGAGAGAAAGCCCGTAAGGGAAAGCCCAAAGAAGACAATATTTGCTAGCTAGCGGTGGTGGATCTAGGTCGTTACATTATCTTTATTACATAGAAAGAAAGAAAAGCAAAAAGGGAAGGTGTTGTGTTGGATGATGAAAGTCTTACATTGGCTAATTTAGGGAATGATGAAAGCAAAGTCATGAGAGCTTATGCTCAAAGTGGACAATATCATACCATTGTGGAGAGTCGTGATCGTCTAACACGTTGAAATAGAGAAAATGATAATAAAGTTTTAATTAATGAGATGTTAATCTGTTGGGTTAATAATGTAAGAAAATGATATTAATAAGAGGAAGAAGATTATGGGAAAGACACAAAATCAGACAACGATGTTGGTTGAGTGGACTTTGTATTGCCATTTCCTTATTTTTAATCAATGTCTGTTTCTTGGTTCCCAGGGGCTGCTACAACCTGCCAATGGTCCCATTTACACCCCTTTAATAACAATTCCTTTTTTTTATTAATAATATAATAAAAAGTTTAATATAACAAATTTGAGCACTCTCAAAATAAATAAATAAATAAATTGAGATTTAAAAAATTACTAAGACCAAACTAATAATATTTATTTTAATGAGGATTAAAGATCAATTTTCCAATAATTAAATATTTATAAATCAGACAAGTTTCCTTAAATGATGGTGGTTAGTAAAGAAAAATAATAAATTACCAAATCCAAATTAAATAGTGTGAATATCTTTAAATATCTCCCATATAAATCCCATGCCCTAATGTTGGCAATTACAGAGCATATAAATAACATATATGACGTCACATAATGTATTTATTGTCAACTCTAAGGGTAAAAATGTCAAGATAATAAAAACAAATATTTTCATTATTTAACACGTTTGGTTTAAAAGCAGAAAATTAGTTTTTGCAGTAAATAATTATCTTTTCATTACTAATTACATAAAAAGAAAAAGAAAAAAAAAGAACAAATTAGATGCTTTCTTTTTTAATGTGAAGAGACGTATTTGCCCTTCGGTGAAATTACAATATTACCCTATGAATCAAAACGCACCGTTTTGTAGGCTATAAAACGGTCGGTGCTTGGCCATCTACTCTCGAATTCGATCTTCTTCTTCTTCTTCCTCTTCAACCTCGCCTCTGTATTTTAGAGAGAGAAACAGAGTACCAGTAGAGAGAGAAGCTAACCAAAAACGAAACCCGATGGGAAATTGCCAAGCCATTGACACAGCATCTCTAATCATCCAACACCCAAACGGAAAAGTCGACCGATTTTACTGGCCGGTAAACGCCGGCGAGATCATGAAGTCAAATCCCGGGCATTACGTCGCCCTTCTCATCTCCACCAAAATCTGTCCATCAAAATCCACCGCCGGAGACCGCCGCCGTGATCATGACATCCAAACAAACACCACAAATTTCAACTCGGTCCGATTAACCCGAATCAAGCTTCTCAAGCCGACCGATTCCCTCGTTCTCGGCCAAATTTACCGCCTTGTAACAAACCAAGGTCTGTTTAATTCTTTAATTCTTTAATTCTTAGCTTACTTTCACTAATTCATCCGGTTCTGAATTTGGTATTGTGGGTTTAGATGTGTTGCAGGGTTTGAAAGCGAAACAGGAAGCGAAAATGAAGAGAAATTCGATGGATTTTGAAGGGAAAGATGGAAATTTGGAGAAGGGATCAGAAGGAGAAATGAATCAGGTGGGTTTTTAATTAATTTAGTGATTAAATTTGATTTCATGAGTGAAATCTGAACATTTTAGTTCCAATTATTTTGCAGGGGATGAAATGTGAGAAAAACAGAGCAGTGTCGTCGGCGGCGAAATCGAGAGGGTGGCAGCCTTCTCTGCAGAGCATTTCCGAGGCCGGAAGTTGAGGGTTCGAGATTTCCGATCAAGAAGATATAAAAATGAACAGAAAATGGGTTATTTTTCAGGAGTTTTTAGACTCAGATTTGTGCATATGTAAGGAATAGTTCATTACAGAAACAGAGCAGAGAGAGAGAGAAAAAAAAACAGGGGATGAAGGGGTGTATTTGGAATTTCACTTGAGAAATTGAAATTGGGTTTGGAAGATTAAAATAATTCCCACTTGTTATTATTTCCTATTTTTGTTTTCTCTTTTTACTTTCATTAAAAGAAAAAATAAAAATAAAAACAATAATAAATTAGTAAAAATAATCCACAAAAATACCTTTAAATTTAATAAAAATAAATACTTTTAAACTTGGATTTTAATTTTTTAATATTACTTGAAAATCTAAAAAATTTCAAAAATAATATTAATATCCTTAATTTATAAAAGGACGATTTTCGAGTATTTTTTCAACAAAATTTTAATTTTTTTCCATAAATATTTTTTAATAAAATATAAAATTTATGAGTATTTTTTTAATTATAATTAATTTAGCCTAAAAATAAATTTTTAAATTTGGTATCATTTCCTTGAACTAAAAATAATTATTATTTTAAATTTTTATTAAATTTATAAATCGTCAAAGGATTAATATATACTCATATTTATTATATTAGATTCAAATCTTGTAAAATTTAATTTTGAAAATAAAAAAAAAGTAATAGTTAAAGATGAACTTTAAGTTCAAATTGAACGGAAAAAAGAAAGAATATAATGAGATTGAGATGGGATTGTGGTCACATCATATCATATCAGACATTCAATCTTATGTTTTCAGCTTTTCGACAACATGGGACCATTCCATCTCCAACGTTGGACATCGACAATCCAACCCCTCCTCCTTCTAAGCTTAGACAACGTTCATCATTACCCTTTTGAAAATCTAAGAATGTTTGTTTGTTCCCTTTTCCACCCCCAACGAAAGATCATTTAATGCGATCGTTATCTCTCATAAATGTACTTTGAACTTTTTAACTACGTTAAACCATTCTAATGTGAGATCCTATTCATAGGAGAACAAAACATTTCTTATAAGAGTGTGAAAATCTCTCCCTAATAGATGCGTTTTAAAACTAAGAGACTAGCGGCGATACGTAACAGGTTAAAGTGGACAATATCTACCGACGGTGGGTTTAGATGATTACATATAAAGATTCAAGAAATAACATAGACGAGGTCGATAACGTGTCGAGTTTTGAGTATGATGGGTGTTTGAGAGAAGGGAATGGGGAAAGTTGAATGGATGTGGGGCATGTAGTGTTTGAGATTGTGTAAGCAAAGGAAATAATGTTAAAGGGGATGGGATTTTGACCCAAAAAGGGGAATTGATAGCAATGAGTCGCATGAGGCACTGAGGGTGAGTGCTCTTTTGCTTGTCTTTCTGTGCCATGCAAGGCCACGCAGCATGCTCATAGACATACCCCACCCCATCACTGCCGATCACTATGCATTTTCACAGACAAAGCAAGAACATGTTGCACCCTTTTGCTTTTTGTTTGTAGCTACCTTACACTTTCAATTCAATATTCATTTGGCTTCATCATGCATCAAAAGTGCGGACATCGTTTGACTCACTCTATCCATTCTGTATTCATATTCACGGTTTCTTTTATAATCATTTTACGAAATTGGTTTTATCGTTCTTGCTATGCGTGTGAAATGATCGTATCTTTTTAATACTTTGTGACTCTCTTATACGGAACAATGAACGAAAACTAAGATGGAATAGGCTCACTTATATCGCTAGTTTACCTATTGTAATATGACGAGAGACTATTTCACCCGAAACAAAAGGATAAGATCCATCGACACAGCATGCAATAGCTCGAATACAAAATAACTTATATTCATTTATCTTACCTATTGTAGACCTGACCTTCAACGTTTAACCTTTCATAGATTAAAAAAAAAAAAAAATAGTTGTTTTGAGAGTGAATTTTTTCATAATGATTCAAGTAAGAATGATTGTGAATTGAGTAGGTCAAAGAACTTAAAACCGATAAATTTCGAACCTTTTGATATCATAAAAAAGAATAGTCTCTAAAGCCTATATAGAGTAGAGTAAATAATTTGTAGCTAGAAATGGTGATGCTAACCCTAACATATCCTATGTAATAGCAATATGAATCAATAGATATCCATGTACACACAAAAAGTTGATACGGAATTCATTCGTTCATGATGAGATATGCATTCACAAAAGTTTAATTTTTTTTTAGATGAGTTCGATTCAAATTCAAATAAACAACAAATATGTTTAACGATCCATCATATATTCGAACATAACATTTAATATACTGCGAGAGAGAATATTTTAAACGAATTGAACTATATTTAAGTTGATTTCATCCGATATAAAATTAAATAGAAATTAAATAGAAAAAGAATGGGAAAATGAGGAAATGCAAAAATAGGAAGTGGGTGAAGAACCACACATAATGATGGAAGAACAAGAACCATTGATCTAAGGAGCTTTGAAGGGGTTTGGATAACTGCAAGCCCCATAAAATTCTCCTATCCACTAGACCCATTCTTCATTAATATTGCTTCCTTTCTCTTCTTCTTCTTCATTGCCCACCATTGGAATAGGCTTTCCCCATTGAAGAATAGCTTAGGAGGAAGCTAAGTTTTCCCTCCGCCATGGCTTTCCCTTTACATTTCCTCCTTTTTCCCATCATGATCACCTCCCTTCCCATCCTCCCCGTGGACTCCAAGCTCGCCGTCGGTTATTACCAAAAGACATGTCCCAACTTCGAGAAGGTCATTCGAGAGACCGTGACGAGTAAGCAAATCACTAGCCCTGTCACTGCGGCTGGGACCCTTCGTCTCTTCTTCCACGACTGTTTTGTTGATGGTTGTGATGCTTCTGTCCTCATTGCCTCTAATTCCTTTAACAAAGCGGAGCGTGAGGCTGAAATCAATCACTCCCTTTCTGGTGATGCGTTTGACGTGATCACTCATGCTAAGACCCATCTTGAATTATCGTGTCCTGGTATTGTTTCTTGTGCTGATATCTTGGCTCAAGCGACACGTGATCTAGTGGTGATGGTGGGAGGGCCGTTTTATAATGTCCGTTTGGGACGTAAAGACGGAATGGTTTCGAAATTGGAACACGTGGAAGGGAACCTCCCTGAAGTGAAGCACACGGTGGATGAACTTGTGGATTTCTTTGGGCAGAGAGGATTCAGCATCCAAGAAATGGTGGCTCTCTCCGGCGGCCACACCATTGGGTTCTCTCATTGCAAGGAATTCTCGGACCGGCTGTTCAATTTCAGCGCCACCACACCCACCGACCCCGACATCTACCCCAAGTTCGCCGACAAGCTGAAGGAAATGTGCGCCAATCGCGACAAGGATACGTCCATGTCAGCATTCAACGACGTGATGACACCTGGCAAATTCGACAATATGTACTACCAGAATCTCCCACGTGGACTCGGCCTACTGGCCACCGACCATGCCCTGGTTAAGGACCCTAGGACGAAGCCGTTCGTGGACCTTTACGCCGTTAATCAGACGGCGTTTTTTCACGACTTTGCTCATGCTATGGAGAAACTCAGCGTTTTCGAAGTTAAGACGGGAAGGAAGGGAGAGGTTCGACGAAAGTGCGACCTCTTTAATTCCATCAAGACGTGAGACATCGCTTCTTCTTTCTTTCTGTTCTTTTCGTTTATTAATTTTTTTTTTTTTCTTTTTAACAAATATTCAAAACACAAAAAATAATATGCAAATCAATCAATGTTGTTCTAGGAAGAAGAAGGCCAAAAAATCTTTTTTTTTTAAATTTTTTTTTTTAAATTTTTTTTTTCTGAAAATTGGTGTTTTGTTTGTTTTGGATTTCGTCCCTAAGATGGGAATTGTTGATCAGTTGTGATTTTATAGTGCTTCTCATGGTCATTATGTATTTCCTTTTATATAAATATTTCCTATTTATTTATTTATTTCCCTATATTTATAGAGAATAATTTTGAAATTATCAAAATATTTGGCTAAATCCGCGAGTAGAACTATTTATGGGGTGGGGCATGGGTGGGGCATGGGAAATTCGTAAGGATCCAATCTGGTCGATAAATTTCTTTCAATTGCTGAGGATTATTATTAAGAGTGAGTCCCACATTAATTAATTTAGTAGAACTAATTTAGTGGAAGGTTTATAAGTGAGGAATACAAGTCTTTTGGAGAAGCCAAAAGTGTTTATAAGTGAGGAATGTTGGCCTCTTGGGGAAGTCCAAAGTAAAGCGACGAGAGTTTATGTTCAAAGTGAACAGAGAAGCCCAAAGCAAAGCCACGAGAGTTTATGTTCGGGCAGAGCTCATGAGAGCTTATGCTCAAAGTGGACAGAGACCCTTTTGGAGAAGCCCAAACAAAACCATGAGAGCTTAATGCTCAAAGGATAGAGGCCTCTTGGGGAAGCCCAAACGAAGCCACGAGAGATTACACTAAAAGTGGACAATATCATATCATTGTGGAGAGTCGTAATTCTTAACATGGTATCAGAGTCATGACCTAAAACTTTGTAGAGAGTCGTGATTCCTAACATGGAGAGTACATGATATCAAAGTCATGACCTTAAACTTCATTGTAGAGAGTCGTGATTCCTAACATAGTATTAGAGCCATGCCCTTAAACCTTTAAACTTAGTCATGGTAATACGAAGGTGTAGTCAAAATTATGATAATAATAATTTCAACTAAATAAAAAATAATAATGTTCATTTAAAGATTAAAAAAAATCATGAATATCTTAATAAAAGTAATCGACCATTTTAATTTCTTTGATTTTTAAATTTTTTATTATCAAAATTTAAGTTGTTTACACTATTTTCATTTAAAAATCATAAAAATAGCTTCTTTTTTTTTTTTTAAATGTTTGGAATTTTGTTAAGAGGTAAAATGTTTTATTTTAAAAAATTAATATTATTGTAAAGAAAATTGTTAAAAAAAAAAAAAAATTGCATTGGCAAATTAAATTACTATACAAAGTAACTAAATCCTAAAAATAAAATACACTTACAAAGAAGAGGAAAAAAAAAAAAATCAAAACTTAGTAGTATTGGTAGAATACCGGTTCAAGGCAGCACCAGCCCGGCCGGTCCAGCTGACTCCACCGGCGTCGAGCCCATGTCGGCGGACGCCTTCGATCTCAACGGAACCGCTCCCGCCAGTTCTCATCATCTCCAAGATCCTCTTGGCCTTCTCCCGCGCCCTCTCGCTTCCCCTTTCTTCAACCTCTCTTAGAACCTCTACCGCGCCGGCCGCCTTCGCCAATCCCTTGAATCGGAATCCTCCTTGACTCAATGCGTGCAGCGCTACCACACAATTCTCCCGAGTCGACTCGGAATCCATCTCTTTCTCCCTCAACATCCCGACCAAACAATCCACCGCGTTCGCATCCAGCATCGCCGATCTTCCGTCGGCACAGACGGCGAGATTGCATAGAATCAGCAGGATTCGGCTCGCAGAACCGTCGATTCTCGTCAACGATAGAAGTATTGGAACGGCGCCGAGTTTCACTAGTTTCACACGGTTGCTAGGGTTTAGAGTCAAATGGTACAAACAAAGGGCCGAATCGTTCCTCGTCCGCTCACTCTCGGATCGGAGTGTGTTCATCAGTACCGGTAACGCGCCGAGAATTCCAATCGCCATTTTGTTCTCGTCCTCTAATGATAAACTGAACAGAGCACCGGCTGCGTGTTCTTGAGATTCCGCGTATCCGCTGTCTAAAACGTCGATTAATGACGGAACGAATCCTGCTCGGAGGATCTTCAATTTGTTCGATTTCTCGAGGGAGAGATTCACGACGGAAGCAACGGCATTGATCTGGATATTTGTAGATCTGGATGAAACCAGAGGAAGTAGTGCGGCGAGGAATTCCTTTGTGCATATAGAAGCCCTAGTTGATTCGTTGGATTTGGTCAATTTTCTTAGGGAAATCACTCCTTCTTGTTGTTCGCATTCATCGCCGCTTCTGAATTTCATGATGAGACGAGATTCCTCTTCTGAATTTGGTGTATACGAATCGGAACTTCCTCTGTCGAAGCTCGAGGAAGACGAAGAATGAGCGGCGTAACAAGAGGGTTGCGTTTTGAAGGGCAAAATAGTACTTTCACGTACGATCTCCTCCGTTTCCGGCGGCGAGTTGAGTTGAAATCGGTTGACTCGGAACCCAACCTCCGTAGTCGCATGAACTGCAACTCCCGCCGGTTTATCGGCGACGCCTCTTAACAACTCGCTATCAGAAGCCTCGAATCGATTCTCTTGTCTCTCCTTCTCCATTAATTGACGAACAACGAGTTCAATAGAGGTGTACAGAGGGGGTCGTGGGTGTTCGATTCCGTTGTCATCGCACCATTTGAGAATGGTGAATCTCATATTTCTGTTGGTTATAACAGAGGTGAAATCCAGCCTCGATCCATCTTCAAGCTTCGGCGAAAACCCCAATTCTTGACAAACTTGAATACAGAGGCGCTCGAACGTCTGACCGGAGGAGACGACAACCGGATCCGCCATTAACGACTTGGAAATTTCGCAGAGATACTCTCTGGGATACTCTACCGGCCGTTCAGGTTTCGAGTCCGACGAAGATCGGTGGTGGAAGATGGAGAGTTTCAACCTGTGATTGCCATGGCCAACCATTTCTTAGTTCAAAACAGGGAAAAAAAACCAGAGGTCTGGAGAGGAATCAACGGGTTCGATCAATTTGGGCGTTGAAGAGTTGGATTTATGGCAAATTTTCGGAGGCTGTGACGAAGAATAGGTCGGAGATTGACTTTCTGAAATTTTCTTTTTACCGGAGAGTAAGTCTTCGCTTCAGATTCAACGTCCGGCCGGCCGCCGCGGCTGCATTTACCATGCCCTCCACCCGCCGTCAAATTTTATGGACTATTTGAGTTTAGTATTTGTAAAAATATATATTTTTTTCCTTAATTTTATTGATTTAAAGTCAATAAAAATAAAATAAAAGCCATCGTATAATACGTATGCGGGCTTACGGCAGCAACATTTTGAAGGGTCCAATCATTTTTTATATTTTATTATATATATATATTAATTTCCCAAGTTAGTTGGCAATTAATAACCACACACAAGACTCATACTATATATAAGCTCACTGCTAGCAGATATTATCCACTTATTACATATCGTCGTCAGCCTCATGATTTTAAAATTCATCGACTAGAGAGACACTTGCATACTCTTATAAGAAATGTTTCATTCTGATTTTACATGTAATAAGTTTTTGAAGAGGAGTATTAAGATTGAGACGGAAATTTATTTTAGTGAATATTTATTTTATTTATTATGACTTTAATAGCATTTTGTTCGGAGAAGTTTGTTGTCATCCACGTCACTATTCGTATGTTTGATTATTAATGTATTTTAATTTTTTTAATTTTATTTAAAATAAAATATTGTATTATACGATAAGTAAATGTGTGTAAATCGATCCCGAACATTTGAAGTTGCTTTTAAAAACAGCTATGAGCTCGACCAAGTCTAATTAAGAGCTACAACTTGTGCATTAGTTTAATTATATATATTAATTTAATCCGACGATTTATTCCATCTTATTTTAAAATTCCAACAGCTAAACTTTGACCAATGGGATATTTTAAGAAAATCCCTACACGGCATTTTCATCCCCACCATGTATGTATTTTTCAAATTAATTATAAATATTTCAAAGACGTATAAATGTTGTTTAATTATTAAAATTAATTTTGATTCCACGTCTAATTCTAAAATTAATTTTGTAACTTTAATTAATTATAATTCATTTTTTTCAGTGCTGTATTATCATAAGAATTTTGAAATTATATTTTTATTAGATAGGAAAAGTATATTTCACTTAAAAAGATATATATTAATAGACAAAATAATTTAATGTCTCGAATTTTTTAAAGTAAAAATAATGTCACTAAATATATAATATAAAAATATTATGTTTGATGTGGTCAACGGAGAATCCGAAGAAAATAATAATAATAAAAGAAATATGAGCAAAAAATAATGAGATTTAATAGTTGGCATTATCCATTGATTTGGACTTTTATAAGGTCCAACATCAATAATTTTATTTCAGTTATTTTTAATTATTGTAATGAATGCATATTTAAGGTACCCATTTAGGAATCATAAGGTGTGGATATTTTCTACCACTTATGCTAATTAAACACTATTATTCATAAATTAACAAATAAATAATTCAAATAATATATAAATGTGTTTATCTAACTTAGTTAAATTAAATGCTCATGTCGTACCAAACCCTTTCACTTACTTTCATGTTATAGTAAGCGTATGGTCATTTGACGAAACCATGTCTACTTCTATTGAACCTGAATGACCTCAAAATGTACTATAGAGAGACTAAGTAGTCATCAAACCTCCCTGACCAAGTATTATAATCTCTTTTACCTATAAGGTTCTATTAAACACACAATTATAACTGTAAGATCATATTTGGTTTGAACTAAATAGATACCGTAAAAGATTAATTACAATTAATTGATGTGGACTTATTTTAAAAAGGAAATTCCCCTTTAATTATTATGGTTTAGATATAATTTGGGGCTTAATTTTCGTACAAATATTTAATTATACCTTTTATTTTGCATTTTAATGAAAACAACTTTCCTTTCCAAAATAATAATAATAATAATAAATAAATCTGAAGGAGAACGGGCCGACTGAAAGCCCACATTTCGTATTTTAGTGGGCTTTTAGGCCCAATTTTAGAAATTTTAATTATATTTTGACATATTTAATATTATTTTTGACGTGGGCTAGTAATTGTCTGAGCATAAGCTCTCATGGCTTTACTTTGGGCTTCCCCAAAAGGTCTCATACCATACGAATGAAAATAGTATTATTTGATTATAAACTCATAATTATTCTCTAAATTAGTCGAGGTAGGATTTTCATCCAACAATTACTTAACCCTTAAGATCCTATTACTAGCAACGCACCAACAATTGTCATTTATCATCTCGTCAACACCAAAGTTCGTAAGGTCGTAGAAGTAGTGTAGTCACCCCTTCCCGACCCAACCCATGTACAACACAACAAAATTAAGAGTACAAGTCAATTATCGTTGAGCTAGTTCGGTTCAAGTTACGAAAAAAACATGTTTTTATAAGTAAAAAATTTCTTCGAAAAGTTAAAAACATGGACACTTTGATATCCAACACAACTTTATGCAAAAATGTGAGCAGGCCATCAAAAAGAGAATCCCTTCAGAAGAATACACTGAATATGCATTGAACTAAATAATAAAGTTGCTTAAACAAAAGACATATAATTAAAACATGTCTCTCTGTCTCTGTCTGTCTCAAAATAGTTGCAAAAAAACTGCATGTGCATTTCTCATCAATAACAACGAACAAAGAACACAGCTTTTATCAGTAAAATTCTAAGCCATAAAAAAAGTTCTCCACTTTGACCTAACTTTTTTTGTTTTGTTTTGTTTTTTTTTTTTTCTCAGCTCCCACCACCAACCCACTTTCCTAGGAAACAAACAGAAAACCCTCGAGAAAATTTTTCCTTCCTCTTTTCGAAGTGATTTTGAAAAGAACAAAATAAAAAAGGGCATTCTTTTGAAGGTACCATCATTATTTCTACCCAAATGGGTTTCTTTCCTTTCGAGAATTTAAATCTTCTAGACTCCTAGCTTGCTACCCACAGAATAATCCATCAGTAATAGTGGTCAACTACTAAAGTTCTTAACTTTCTCGTGCTAATTATGAACTCACCTTCGAGTTTCGTGTAAATTTAATAGGTTAAAATACAGTAAAACAAACCCCGATTAACCGATATTGTCATTTTTAGGTTTAAAACGCATCTACTGGAAGAACTTTCCACAGTATATAAAATCTCATGGTATCAAAACACGATGATCCATCATTCGTCAATAATAGTGGTCAACTACTAAAGTTGTAAACTTTCTTGTGCTAATTATGAACTCAACTTTGAGTTTCATGTTAGCTTAAAAAATACTGTAAAATTTCGAAATTTTTACAAGGGATCTATAACAGCTTTAGGGTGATGTTTTGACACATTTATAAATAATGTTTCGTTCTCATCTCCAATGAACATGAGATCTCACCGGATAAGAAGATGAGATAAAAAGATCTCGAATTCGGTTTAATGAAACTAATTAACGGTAATTTAACACGGTATTAGAGCAAGAAGGATGGACATAATTATGTAACCCATCCGCTTTTATAAGTCATCAATTTGAAGAAGAAAACAAAACAGATGTACGAGGATTGAATTGGTGAGTTTGTTGATGAGTGGATGCATGTTAATTCTACATGTCATGCTGGCATAGTATAAGGCATAATAAAGAGTAAATTATTGAAAATAAATTATAATGAGAACTTACCATCATAATTACAAACCCTAGAATCGAAAACCAAAAGTGGTGCTGAACATGGCGGCGGCTGCTGCAATTGCTTCCAACAAGAACATAAACAGCTATTGTTCTAAGATTCTGCAAAACCCAGATGAACAAAATGGAAAAAAAAAAAAGAGAAAAAATTGTATCTTTGTTATGAAAATGATGAAAAAAGAGAAACCCAGATGGGAAAAATTGAGAAAATGTGTAAATGTTTATGTTATAGAATCATAAAAGAGAGAGAGCATTAAACCCCAGATGGGGTTGATAAGTTGTAACACAAAAAGACAGGAACTTTAACAGCTAAAAACCAACTACAAGTAATTTGTTGTTGTTGTTGATGATGTTCTTGCTGTTGTTGTTGTCGTCGTTGTTGTTGTGTTTGATGTTTGATCTATCAAATGGATGATGGATCTAATCGGACCAAGATGCTTGATTCCCCGGAAGAGCATCGGTTTAAAGAGAGAGAAGGAGGGTTGGAATAGGAATAGGAAGAGGATGAAGATTAGGGTTTTGTTGGTTCATGATTAATGGGCAAGAAGGGTTTGGAGAGAGAAAGGGCGATGATGGTGGTGAGGGTGTAATGATGATGGTGGTGGTGGAGGAGGTGGTGGTGGTGGAAGAGGTGGCCGAGGGCATCATCATGATGATGGTCATTTTTGTTGGGTGCCTTCTACTCTCTCTTAATCAACACAAACAGAGAGAGAGAGAGAGAGACAGAGGGAGAGAGAGAGACATTGATTATTAACCCTTGGCCTGCCTGCCTATGCTTCCCTCTCTCTCCCACTAAAGGAGGGAGGGAGAGAGAGAGTATAAGGTAGGGTGGAAGCTTTTTTGTGGCCTCCTCCCTCTCCCAAGAGAGCTACTTCTCTTTAGATACTACTCTCTCAACCTTAAATTATTCTACTAGATCATTCTAGTTCGATTGTCGGGTTTTTAACGTTAGATATACGAGAGAAAGCTTATTACAAGATAGTTATAATGTAGCGGTGTTCTAGTCCACTCCTAATAGATAATATCTGTTTTAGCTCATTATACATCGTTGTTAGTTTCACAGTTATAAGACATGTCTGCTCTAGAGAGTGAGAATGTGTACTTAAAGCCATCAAACCTAATAGATATTGTCTGTTTTAGCTCGTTACGTATCATTGTCAGTCTCACAGTTATAAAACATGCTCTGGAGAGTGAGAATGTTTACTTAAGCCATCAAACCTAGATGGTGCGAAAGTTATCTTATTTATAATCAAATAAATTACAAATATATGGGAAGAGTAATAAATGAAAATAATACTAAATAGAAAAAGTAATAAATGAAAAGATTACGGTAGTAAAACAAATATCTAGATATTTGACTATAATAAAATATCATAGTAAACTATAATTTAAGTACTAAATATTGTAGGCAGAGAGCTTTTCCCACCTTTAATGTTTGGTTTCCCTCTCCAACTGATGTGAGATCTCACAATCCATTTCCTTGAGGAGTCAGCGTCCTCGTTAAAACACCTCTAACTCTAATATCATTTCTCGATTTGCGTAGGGGCTATGCTAATATTTTCTGTATTGTTTTAATTTTATCGGATGTCTCTAGAAGCTGGTACAGTTGACGAGAGAGAG